TTAATTATATTACTCCACAGACATACGATAGAGTGTATCATTAAGTTTTCTTAGTTTTTGTACTGCGTTTTTTAAAAGATATTTTAATAAATTATGGAGGGAAAAGCCTTAATTTTTCAGTATTCACTTGGTTACAGCAAAATCTAATATTAATAGTTCGCACATAAAATGATGACCCCATTTTTTTTAAATGTGCATAATCTTAAAATATTTTTTTCCTTCTGGTATCCCCATATACAGCCACGTGACAGTTCAACATTCATGTTAAAGTAAATTATTTATTATCACGTTGAATTAGAGTTTGTTTTTAATCGTGTGATTTCTTAGCTTAGTATCTTTTTGGGATTTGGTTTATGTTATCGCGAACCTATCGCGTGGCGGTTTTTCATGTAGTGAACAAAATGATCATTTCATCTAATCTGTATTTGTGTGCGGAGAGGCGACACTCGGTTCCCATACTAAATTAATATCATTATACTTCTAATCTCTCTCTATGTTCTGTGCTCAGATCCCTAATAAAGTAGTAAAAGGATTTTTTTTATGGAAATCAGGAATAACGAAGTTTTATGGATATCAGGAATAACACAACACTCAAGACTCGTGATTATAAAGAAAAGATATTTTTTTTACATTCACCCGGCCATAGCACACATCGATTACATTTATTTATTTATCTCAATATATATTTTCCTTTTAACGTTTGTTAACTAAGTGTCGAAAAACCGGAAATGCTACCCGGTTTAAAACATAAGTTGAAATTGCGCTGGAAGAGAACGTCAATGAAAAAAAGTTTGAATTCAAGAATACCTACTTATACGCCCAGTTAATTTCACAAACGTCCAATAGGGTTTTAAGACAACTTTAAGCTTTAATGGATGTTCTATCGGTTAGTTAAGACGCTTTAAACTTCCTAATGCCATTTTAATGGACGTTTGTGAAACTAATTAATTTGACTTTGACATTTTTGACAATTCTTTCGTACTATTACGAGTAATATAATATTAGTTTTAGAAAAGGAGGTGTTAAGTCAAAATTATGTATTCAACCAAAGTGGTCACCCAAAAGGTATTTGCGTGAATTAAGTATTTTTTTCCGTATGATAACTCAAAATGATTAATAAAATCCTTAATAACAAAATATCGTATAGTATAAACAAAATGAAGAAAATGGAATTCGCATAAAGCTTTATGGTGTACCTTGATTGGATTCTATGCTTTTATTACATTTTGTTTTGACTTTTAGAGGCCATAACTTACGGAAAGACTTATGAGGTTACGGTCATTTGAGTGTAAATAAAGTGTAATGCACTCTGTATTTAATAGCTTACTGTTTCATGTTCATATAACCACAGATAATTTTATATTAACTGTTATCGACAGCAATATGGCGGACTGTAATTTTATTTTAATTAAAAAGATCAATTAGCACGACAAGATATATTTAAAAATTACAAACACAAGACAGGAGACAGACCGCATTAAACAATAAGCAATAAGAAGTGAAAATTCTTATTTAAATAAAAAAAACCATTTATCTTAAGAGGCTGGCAAAGCTGTTGACGACATTAAATAAAAAAAACAATTATGATGTTAAAAAAAAATGTTTTTATTTTCAGATATTAATCCCTTAAAAAATATTTATCTGTATCCCTTCCCCTATTACAATTTCGTCTTACAGTTAGGTAGGTATAAATAAGGAAACCTATAGAATGCTGTTCACTCACTCCTATGTCTATGTTTTAACAAAAAACTTTAAAAAACAATTTTAAAAATGTTTACAGATTTTTCTAGCAATCGCCGTGGTCCCGTATTCTGGTATTAATGAAATATTACTCTGTATATTGATGACAACTGCATTAAAATTCGTTGTTTGTTAAAATGATCTCAACGTACAGACAGTGGGAAGCGACTTTATTGTATACTAATAGGCTGGGCAACAATGTTTCTTCGCTTTATATATGAAAATTTTAAATATTTTTTAATACAATTTATTTACAATAAAGTAAATTATGTAAGTACCATTTTGTTCGCTAACTTTTTACTATCTCATTTCCATTGCTAAAGAAATTTGGGGGCTTTGATAAAAAAAAGCGCGGCAAGTGGTTTTGGCAGTCCTCGCGCGAAAGAATTCTGAAGAAACCGAAAGAGGTGGAAATCTCAATCCTGACCATGCCGGACTATATAGCGGTTGTATTAACACCTCCCAGCCAAACTCTCTTAATTTTTACTGAGTGGCAAAAGATGTGTGAGGTCTAGTGTTATCATGATGAAAAACCACACTCCGTCTATTGATTAATTCTGGCCGCTTTTTCTCAAGTTCTTGCTTTGATCTCATCAGTTGTTCGCAGTAAAGTTCAGAATCGATGATCCCGCCTGGCGTTAACAGCTCATAATTAATGATGCACTTCCAAATCCATCATACACACAGCATCGCCTTGTTGCAAGTTAACCCAGGTTTCGCCACAGTCGTTGAAGCCTGACCGACCTTTGACTACAACCTTTTTCGCACAGTCTTGTCGTATGTGATCTACTTTTCATCAACAGTTATCAGCTTCTTCAAAAATGGTTCGTTTTTATTACGCCTTAATAAAGAATCACAAATGAGTACGCAGTTCATTAGGTTTCTTTCAGTGAGCTCGTAAGATACCCTAATAGCCAATTTTTTTGGTTTGGCACCCAACTATTAACAAATACGCTAAAATTGTTTTGTCATCAATCCCCAATTCTTCAGTTAGGGTCGCCGATCTTGCTTGTTACTTCAGTTGCAGTAACAAGCAAGATCGGCAACCGGAGCGACGTGCTTCTTCTTTGAGTCATGATCTTTGACATCAAAATTTCCGGACTCAAATCGTTTTTTTAAACCAAATTTGTGCTACTTTCACAGAAACTGCACTAGGTCCTGTCTATGCCTGGACTTCGTACAAAATACAAAATTGTAATACCAATCGTTGACAGTATGAAACAGCTGATTATCTTTCCTGAATTCGGTGTTGCTCCCATATAAAATTTTTTCAGTATACTTAAATAATCCATCCCACAAAGTCTTGGCTAAAATAATATTACATGTTATAGAGATATGTTAAATTATATTTTCTTTTAAGTAAAAAGAGATTGTATTCAGTGGTGGAATAATAAAATCACTTTTATTAAATCAAACAGTACATATTTTTTTAACATCCGGTTTTTAATCTTCAATTTGTTTTTAGGAGCCTTTAAGTTTTTCTTTGTCTGGCTAATATTTTAGTAATACCTACATTCTAAAAAAGCGGTTGTATTATAATATCACGAAACAATCTTTGGGACTGTTATACCTTACTACAGGTTATTATATAACCTATCAAGGGTAGCAGTACTTCATCCACTTAGATTGTAATAATTGGTTATTTGTCTATTGCTATTGTTAAGTATGTACCTACTACAATCTCTTTTTGAAAATAAAGAAATTATTTATTTTATTTATTATTTAATCTTTCTACTATTTACAAATACGTTATTTATTTATTTTTACTAGCTTTTGCCCGCTACTTCGCTTTCGTGGTCTAGCTAGTTCTTGAAGTCCAGAAACGAGAAAATTCCATAAAAACTTTTAGCCCCTCATTTACCCCTTTAGGGGTCGAATTTCGTAAAATCCCGCCTAATTGAGCACCTACGTCCTAAAAAGAACCCGCATACAAAATTTGAAACTCCTAGCGCTTGTAGTAACGGAGTTTCATACAAATTTCCATCGCCAAATTTAACCCCTCCGTGGGATGAACTTTCAACGCTCAATAGTTTCGGCTGTAGGTTGTTTGTCAGTTAGTCACTCAGTAACGCAAGATGATATGGACCCCGTCGGGCACAGCATTTTACCGTTACCTACTCAGATCAAGATGATGTGGATTTTTTCACTGTGAGGGTCTCACAGCACACTTCACAGGATATACACGAAAAGAGGATATACACGAAATCGAGGATTTTAGCTCTTGGGATCTGAGCAATGTATGCTATCTAATATTTATTTATTAAATCAAATAGATTGGTCAAATCCCAAATTAATTAGCTAAAACACTTGTATTATCGAAATCTGAAGCAACCAAGGTATCTCAACACCCAGACTCAATACAATATGGAAAAGCCATTTGTCATATTGATCCGGCCAAGTATCGAAGCCAGAACCTAAGGAATGGCGACGCTGGCATACAATCCACTTGGCCACAGAGGTTAACTTATTATTGTCCTCTATTTATGTTTCCACCGGAACGTAAACCTTTCCTAAAAATCAGGCCGCTCAGGACTTCCATATGGATAATTAAGGAGGACGGGCTATGACCCTCCACCCTGGTCCAATGCAAATTGGAGGATATTAACACCTGCAAATGTAGCCAGGATCAAAGACGTGCCTTCTGTAACACAGAGAAGCTCGAGATGATAATATTTTAGTCTCTCAAATAGAATCATATCGAATCGAATAGAGAGAATAAGCCACTCACCACGAAGGCTCATTGCGAAATCAGATTGGTGGGTGTTAATTACTGCAGGCAGAGGTAATAGAGACCAGAGCGTATGCACGCTTCAGAAGGCTCTGAAGACCTTGAAATATTAAATTTTTAGCCACCCATCCTATGACCGGTCCTTACGAAAGTAGCTTCACATCGCTAACCGAACTCGCTAAATATTTGACCATTGAGCTCCTCGATTTCACGTATGGACCACAGACTAAGAAGAAGATACTGTTGAGGGAGACCTTCTTGGTTTAAGATCTTTTTAATTAATTTAAATATTGACATTTTGACAATCTGTTCTGCACATGCGCGTCTATTGTTATATATAGAAAAGTAACTCTTCGTACAGCTGTTGTCGGTGCTGTTTATATTTTATAAAGTATATATTTTTTGGTGGTAAATAAACTCATGTGATCTAAAAGCCCCCTGGTCTTTCTCTACACCCGTTTTACCATCGATCGGGTATCAGATACTACGTATGTATGGACAATTTGTTCTAAATGAGAGTCCGCTTTAGACCAAAGACAAAACGGAAATTTGAAAAAGTTTCCTAATTTCAGTAACTATTATATTTTTTAGTTTTCAATAAATTATTCTCAAAGAGAATAAACTTACCTATATACCTTGAAAATAACTTTAATCTCTAATGATAAGATTCCAAACAAAACGTCAATGTTTTCGTTGTCAAATTGCCAATATATGGCCAAATGCACGTTATTATTTTGTAAATTATATGTATGTGAATTATTTTCGATTTATTTTAGTTTTTATCTGTTGTTATTGTGGTGTGAGTAATTTAAAATAATTATGGCGGGTAAGTGTCTTTCTTAATGTCGATGTGCATAACTCGCTAGTGTGCAAGGATATTGTATTCATGCCATAATATTCAATAATTGTTTTTATTGTTTTCAACCCAAATCAAAATGTCTCGAGATAATATCACCAAACAAACCAAGAGCCGTATTCTAAATCTGTCTTCGACATATCGAGAACAGCTACATCATAAGAAACATGATCCTTCACGCTGGCCCTATGCGAATAAGAGGGTATTAAACTTTTATTAAAACAAAAAGGGAATAAGCGGCACAAGCACATTTTAATGGAAACTAAAATAAGTGCATGCATATAATTTCGCTTTTGACACAAGGATAAGGGAATGTTTGTGCACTACACTGAATTTTCAGGTACGGCAGTCCGATATTTTTCCGGTCTATTTTAGCTATTGTATGTGAATAATGCTGTTCCTAAATTAATAAGGGTATAAGTTTTAACATCTGATAGTAGTCATCCGATAGTAGTTAAAAAAAATGCTTTCGTCCTGCGTAAATTTTTATAGTTTATGTAAAATGACCCTGTCGGATACCTTCCACTTATAAAAGGATGAACCCAATATTTTTTCAGTCTTCTACGTCTTCGCACATAATATAATAAACCAAGCAATTGCCGACGTTCCAAAAATCTCATCGTACCTAGCGTAAGTGACATGTAGCTTCAAAGAGAACTGCGCCGCACCTATCCGGAAAAAAACGGACAAGTGCACAAACTAATCAGCCCGGTTTTTTGTTTTATTCCGGACTGGAAGATATCGGACTGCCGTACCTGAAAATTCAGTGTAGTCCACAAACGCCTTAAAAGTATAAACCATATTTACATGTACGAGAGAGAGAATGGATTTCAGTTGTGCGGCTTGTTGCTACACGCATGTATGTAACGTTCATAAGTCCCTTCTTGCTCATGCTAGTGTTGAAATTCATTGCTGTCTCACTCGCCCGGTTGACATGTTACCGATAACGTGAGTTCGTGTGTCGCTTACGCTATTGTTGAAACTAATAGTGTAAGTGTGTGAGTGAGTTTACTTATATAATATTACCAGTGCCATTTTTTGGTCAATGCAGCTTTGAGTATGCCTATCTTCCCTTTTTGTTTTAATCAAAGGTATTTATTATTAACGAATTCCTACAAATGAAGCCGGGACCAACGGCTTCACGTGCCTTCCAAATCAATAATTATCCGAGCTACTCAACGACCCTAATTATATTTAATTTCAAATATGATCAACAGAAAATCCCGCAATTTTGCTGAATATCAGCGAGATGATCGACCTTGCAATAGGAACACCTGAGGTACTTTGTAGAAAAAGTAACTACACTAATACTAAATACACTAACACGAAACTCAATAAATCCACTAATTATATTAAAAATACGTTAAATCACAATTACGATACACCGTACATATTTAAAAGCCCATGTAATGTAATTAAAAATACCGTTCTGAAAACGAAGAAAAAAGTCACGTCTGTTGTATGGGAACCCCCTTAAATATTTTTTATTCCTGTTTTTAGTGTTTGTTGTTGAAGCGGTATTAGAAATACACCATTTGAGAAAATTTCAACTGTCTAACTATCACATTTCATGAGATACAACCTGGTAACAGACAGTGAGGTCTTAGAATAGGGTTCCCGTTTCACCCTTTGTACACAGAGCCCTGAAAATGATAATCACTGAACATAGATATGTTTCTTAAGGCTTTGTTACGGTCAAAGCTAATTTATAAAAATTTCGATATAAAAAAAAAACACTAAGTCAACCCTAAAACATACACACATCCGCCATTTTAAAGTCCCTTCCAAAGTTTCAAAGTTTACGGAGCTCTTTAACAATAATCGTAATACTTTCCAGGTTTTACAAATACAAATAGTTTTTGTCATAACGCCTAGCAAATCACGAAAAATTAATAGCAAACCAGGAGTGTGGCTGCCTAATGCTCTAGCCAAAATTTCAGCGATAAGATACGACATCTCGGCGAATATTATGACGATATTTCGTTTCATTTTACAAATTTGAATATCTTGGTGGATAAATTTGGGATAAATGATTAAGTTGGAAACACATCTGTCAAATCCAACATCATTCTTTATCATTCGTTCTTCGTTATTAAAGTACATGTCTAAGTAGTAAAATTAAACGAAATAGCGCTATAACATCGCTAAGATGTCGTATCCTGAGGATATGAATTTATATAATTATAATTGTCATTTTAGTATTTATTTATTTTTTAATTATTTGATAAAGATGTGGACATTTTTTATATATCAATTTTATTCAATTTTAGTGACAATTTGTATATTATTTTTTGGAATTATGTTGACATTCTTATATTTCTTTTTAAAAATGACATGTATGACTTGTAATATTTGCACGTCGTCCTGACGACAAAATATGCTGGGTATTTCAAAATTGTTAACAACTTGTAAAACCATATTTCTGCAAATAAAGATTTTATTATTATTATTATTTAAATATATTTATAATTTACTCTTCCCGACCCCTCGACGATTCGAGGGGGGGGAGGATTCCCCCCGGCAGAGGAGGCCAGACGGCCGGGGGTCAGGGCGACAAAGAGAGAAAACGGCGGACGATCCTTGCGTTATCGAGCAAGATCGCCCGCTGGAGCCTCGCAATCATTGGTCCGTCACGGAGTCCCAACCTCTTCAGATGGTCGTGAAGAGAAGTCGGGACTAGGCCATTCGTTGACACTACGACTGGGATGATCTCAGTGGATGACACTCGCCACATATCGGTAACCTCGTGCGCCAGGTTCAGATATTTAAGTTTTTTATCTGATTCGGCTTTCACGAGGTTTTCATCGAATGGGACGGTGACATCCACTAAGAACACCCGAGATTCCGCCCGGTCCATCAGTACGATATCAGGCTTGTTCGCAGGAACAGTCCTGTCCGTAATGACGGACCGGTCCCAGTATAATCGAGCGCGGTCATTTTCAAGAACTGGCTCCGGCACATACTTATAGTACGGCACCTTTTCGCCTATGAGGCCGTATTTGAAGGCTAGCTCGAGATGGAGTATTTTGGCTGCTTGGTCATGTCTGTGCAAATACTCGGTATTAGCCAGTACAGGACAACCGGAAGTAATATGCCTGAGTGACTCACCGGGCTGGTGACAGGCTCTACAAACATCCTCTGTCCCATCCTTCAGGATATACTTCCGGTAGTTTCGGGTCATAATGACCTGGTCCTGTATTGCACAGACAAAACCTTCGGTTTCCCCAAAGAGGTCCCCGAAGCGCAGCCAATGCACGGAGGTTCTCGGATCCACATGACGCTCGTGTAGCGCCTTGTAGAACCTACCGTGCAACTCCTTCTCCCTCCAAATGGCCTCTCGGTCAGTGGTGCTAAGTACTGCCGGTTCTCGCCATTGCTCGGTGGCCAAAGAGAGAGGGGTTAGTCCTACATCACATGCTTTGACATCTCTATGCAACTCACTGGATTCCGATTTCGCCAGGAAGTAGTTACGGAGACTGTGTATCTCGCGGTTGTGCAGGGTTTTCGCACTGAGCAGCCCACGACCGCCGCTCTTCCTCGGGATATACAGCCTCATCACTGACGATCTCGGGTGGTGCATCCTATGGAGTGTCAAAGTTGTGCGGACTTTCCGATCCAGGGCGTCCAATTCGGTCTGAGTCCATCTGAGTATGCCAAAGGTGTACATTAGGACTGGCATGACCCAACCGTTGATGGCCCTGACTTTGTTGACGCCTGATAGGTAGCTTTCAAGCACCTTAGTCAGGCGTCCCAAAAAGGCCTCCTTAACGGATTGTTTCACGTCCGCCATATGCACACCCAGATTCTGTGACATACCCAGATACCGGTATGTATCAGTTTCGGAGAGGGTACGGATGGTGGATCCATCCGGTAGGTCCACTTGGTTGGAATCACTTATCCGACCTCTATCCACATGGATAACCGCACACTTGTCCAGCCCAAACTCCATGCTGATGGAGCTACTGAAATCCTTTGTGATTTTCAGCAGCTCCGCCAGCCTCTGAGCATTTGGGGCAAGCAACTTGAGATCATCCATGTAGAAGAGGTGTGATATTTTGAACAATCCTCTCTTCAACTGAAAACCTGTCCCTGGTTTATCCAGCAAAGTGCTAAGCGGATTTAGGGACAGGCAAAACCAAAGTGGACTCAGACAATCGCCCTGGAATATACCCCTCTCAATCTTTATTCGGTCTTCCGCATCCGACAGCTGCACCCCGAACAGACTAAGCTGCGTACTCCACTGCCCCATACAGGTCTCGAGGAAGTTTCGAACTGTACAATCGATCTTGTACAGCTCGAGGACCCTCTTCAACCACGTATGGGGAACCGAGTCAAACGCTTTTTTGTAGTCTATCCAGGCTGCAGAGAAGTTGCGTCGGTTGCGTTTGACCTGTTGGGCCACGACCGCATCGATCAGGAGAAGCTCCTTTGAACCGCGGCTCCCGCCCCTGCATCCATTCTGAGTGTCCACCATGATATGATTGTGCTCAACGTGAGCATCAATTTTAGCCTTCAGAATGAATGTCAGTGCTTTGTAGGTGGTACACAAGCACGTTATGGGGCGGTATTGTGACGGATCCGCGGTATTGGTGGACTTTGGAGCTAGGTGAGTGACCCCAGTTGTTAAGAAGTTTGGGAGACATCGCTGTTCTAGGGCGTCTTGGAATTGGCGGGCCAGGAATGCGTGGCACGAGCGGAAACTCTTCAACCAGTAGTGGTGCAGTCCGTCAATCCCTGGAGTTTTCCAGTTCGGAGCTTTACGGACCGCAGCCAACACGTCATCCGACTCTATGGTGATGGGGTTCATCGCATCTATCGATGCACACGCTTCCTCTATAGGCGCCATCCATTCGCCCTCTATGTGCTCCACAGGCCGGGACCAGATGTTCCGCCAAAAGGCAATGACATCTGTGACATTCGGTCCTTGGACAGTGGAGGGGCCAGCTCGTGTCTCCCATGTACGATAAAACTTCTTTTGGTCACTCCCAAAGAGACGATTCTGGCGAAACCTTGCCGCTCTCTCGGAGTACCGCCGTATCCGACTTCCCCAAGCCGCAATTTTCTGTTTCAGGTCATCGATGCGCTCCGACACTTTTCGCATTAAGGTGGGGTCTGCAAGACTGAAATCGATCCCCGCCATTGCCATATGTACAAAATGCATCACCCTCGGCCTCGTATTGCCTGACCTGAAACTAATCAGTTTGCCGATGAGGACTCTGGTCTCAGCAATACGTTTCTCAATCCTCTTACGCCACGCCGGAGTCTCGCTGTGCCGGGCATTGGTTTGCCGTTCAGCTCTCCCAGTGGGCACTTTGGCGCCGATGAATCGACAGACCGCCAATGCGGCGCCAAATAGGATCGAGTTGGTATCGCTGAGACTGCCGCTTTCTTCCAAGTATGGAAGAAGCATTTGGCTTACTGCCTCAACGACATCCCGATTTTTACGACTTAGGGGTATCCTCGGGATTTTCGGCCTCTCCTCAAGTGGGAGCTCGCGAAATTCGAGAATCGCCTCTTCAAGTAATCCCCTGATCTGCTCTAAATTCTGGGCGGTTGCGTCGTCTACCCTTCCCGTTTCATCAGGAGCAGGACTGGCCACTGTAGCATTGGGGTCGCATATGGTGCTGCGCGCAATGCTACTCCGCCTTCTGCTCCGCCTTCTGCTACCGGGACTCATAGACGACACAACCTCGAGTCGTAGTTGACCGAGTTCTGCTGGAGTAAAGATTTCTCTCCGAAGAATAAAGCGAACTCGATCTGCCAAATTTTGCGCCGTAACGGACAGCGAAGGCTCCAGGGTATGAAACGCAGCAAGCTTATTCAATTTTAGTTATTATTATTATTAAGAAAGTTATAGCTAGAGGAGTTAGTCGGTTTTAATTCAAAATTACAATTTTTTCACTCTTTACTTGATTACCCTCGATACTTAGATAATATAAATTACAGTTATCACTTTTTCCAGTGTGGAGTAGTAGATTTCAATATGCTTCAAACGGTACTCCACGTACTGGCCCAGCAGTTGCATGTGTTGGGCAAGAATGTGGAGTTGAGGGGAAGCGCGGCCAACCTGCCACAATATACCGGCAAGGAGCATCTACAGACCATCGTTGTCAACGAGTTTGAATACGAAATAGATAAAGATAAGGTATAAATATTACATTTAAAAAAAAATTATCTGTAAATCACCAATCCTTAATGAGTCAGATTTAAAAATCTTTTGCGCTACGGCAGCACGAAGGCTAATATTGATTATTTACTATCCCTTCGAGGACGGATCTATCGTTCTGGGCACGATGGATTTACCCACAACTCTAATAGAATTGTGACGTCACTTTTTAATGGTCTACTAATATTAAACCGTTGGTTATCTACTACCACAAAAAAAAATCTTGTATCTTCCATACAAAGTTTAATTTCAGTTAGTATCCGGTTAACAGTAGGTACCACATAAAAACTTACTAATGCAAACAAAGGCAAACTTATATTTATTAGTGTTTTAAAAATTTAAAGAACCGTTATATATTTAAACTGTTTCAAAGTTATTTCATTTAAGACACACACACTGTGCAAATATATGTTTAAAGAATTATGTTTGTTTACAGACTACAGACAAGGAGAAACCTGTGATGAAAATTGCTACAACGGGTATGAAAGAAAAATTATATATAAATAGAAAATATTATTTTTTTATTATCTATTTTTGAATTAAAGATTATTTCTTTATTGAGGTGTCACCATCTCCGAGGTTCCGGGTTGATTATTGGTCAGACCCATGTAATAAATTAACTTTTCTATATCCTAGTTTCGGTTCTGGGTGTTGTGTTACCTTCGTTGTCTCAGATACTCCACTATACGGGGGCTTTAGCTACTCATCTTAGAATCTGAGTAATGGATATGATGCTGTCTAATATAATATGAGTAATATTTTTTATAACTGATTTTGTATGACAAAATATTAATATGTTGAACTTCAGTCTCTGTAGAATTAATGATCCATGTGATCTTTATGATTGGGATATTACGTGAATTTGTAAAATTTCCTTCATAGAAAAAAAAAACAATATTTCCCTTAGGGTTGTGCCACGGTCAAAACTTGAATTTATTCTTGTTCGAAAGAAATCACAAGAATTCCGCAAAACTAAAATGCACTTTTTTAAAGAGCAAGTTGATAAATATGTGATTTGCTTTGTAGCCGAGGGAATCTTGAAGCACTTTTACAATAACCGTAATAGTATGCGAGTAATTATTAAAAAAAAACCGTTTTGCCGCGTAATTCTCCATACTCTGTCCCTGTTTCTCATATAGCCGGGCGCAATGAGTTAGACAGGGACAGTCTTTGGCTTCACGCTCCCTCTTTAAATTGAAATAAATGAGAGCTTTTGGATGCGCTAAGACGAAACTTTTTACTAGCTGTTTTGTTTAATTTCCTGATGTTATGTGAGTAGGATTGTTTTTATTGTTTAAATAATAAAATATCAATATAATTTATATAATTAAGTGTTATGTTGCAGCGGTCCATAAATCCGAGGAACCAGATACTATTTTGGTCGGTAAGTAACCGCATAACATAACATAATTTGAATTAGGGTGAGGATGGCAGTAAAAAAATTAAGACAGTTTCTTTCATATATAAAAAATACTAATACGATTTCGATTAAATTTTAATAAAACCACCCTGAGAATAAAACTACCCTTTCAAACAAAATAATTGTCAGAATAAGGATGTTGACTGAGTAAAAACAAAGAAATTCTATTTATTCCGTCAGTTAGATAATAAAAAAATATTTGATACATGTTTTGCTTCAATTTCACAAGAAATGACTTAAATAATAGGCATTAAACTTGAGGAGTGAGGGCTCGCTACGATTTAACTATATACGAAATGTACAAAGGTGCGACGTCATACAACATTACACCTAAATGTATCGCAGTAACTTATTAATTATGAAAAAAATACGTGTTCTATATTCTTCAATAATCTAACTTTGACGACCTCCGACCGAAAAAATGAACTTTTCTATATTGACTCGGGTCTGGGTGTTGTGGTACCTTCGTTGTCTCAGATACTCCATAATACGGGGGCTTTAGCTACTCATCTTGGAATCTGAGCAATGTATGTGATGTTGTTAAAAAAAAATTATTATAATGAAATATATATAATAGCAAAAAATATTAAACAAACATTTGGTATTTACAGTTGAGCGAATGAAGAAAAACGAACCTCCTGGAGGGAGTAAGTAATTACAAACATACGACACATCATTTTTTTTAATTATATTTTATCAAAAACTGGAGGAAGATCTATGTATGTCGATCCACATTACTTAGTTTGACATCACAGCAATGCATATTCATTAACTTATAATATCTAAGAAGCCTTAAAAACCGACGAGTATGTATGAAAAGAGTAGTCAAAGTGGATGAGACGAAAGATGTATGTAATTATCGTACATTGTTGCGTTCGGTCCTTTGTACCTACCCTGCCAGTGTTGCCTTGTCTTAATACAATGGCACTTGACGTACGATTAAATAAAGAATCGAACCGTCGAATGACAATAAAGTATCCTCAAATCTCGGTCAGGCAGAGAATTTTTCAAACCACCATCGTATATAGAGATAGATAGAAATAATATTTTTAGATATAATATCAACACTTTCTTATACTCTAAAATAGGACCATACTTTAAGATTCTTGAAAACGACTGATATTACTTTATTTTATGGACCGCAGCGTAATCACATGATATGACATTTCGACCTCACACACTCGACGAAAAAAAACCCTTTCATTTTTGACTTGATTTATTCTATACTTCGATAGTGGCAGGAGGGCCTCCTGGTACAGTGGGTGGCACTGCTCGAGGTCCTGTTGGTGGTACTACCGGTGGCACCGCTAGTGGCAATGCTGGTGGCACAGCTGGTGGCACTGCAGATGGCACTGCCGGTGGTACTGCTGGTGGCATTCTTGGTAGCACTGCTGACGGTACCCCAGTTCGTTCGACGGCTGGTACCACGGCCGGTACTGCACCTACATCAGCTGTCTCCACAATGGCGACATCCGCGGGAGGTCCACTTCCTCGTCTCATACCACAGTCTTCTACCGAGAAACTTTCTCTGGTCACCGCCAGCAAGTTTAACATACTTGAAAACGCAGTAGAGGATCTCCGGAACCGTGTCTACGGTAGCATACCTAAGAACGATCAGATCTTGGAAGAAGTCAGGTAATTACAGTATTGTAAGCATAACCTTCGAATCTTAGATCTTATAAAATCTTTTTACCTATTTAGGTGTGGTATCGCACTAAACCAATAATAATTTGACAACCTCTCATTTCGTTTAGATCACAGACAAACATGAAAGCTATAACAGATATGTGGACCTCATTAAACGTGTCCTCCCGCCTGGAAGCAGCTGAAGAGGGCATCGCAAAATTGAGCTCACTCGTCCAAGACTTGATTGGTGAAACTACTAGCCTCCAGGACTCCTTATCACGACGTCCTACTTTAGCGTAAGTTATAGAAAAGATTTTATTGTTGTTAAACTCCGAAACCGATTTTAAAAATTCGCTCACGTATGGAAAGCTAAGTAATACGCGGAAGACATAGGACTATCATTTGCGCGGGTGAAATCGCGGAAAATAGATATGGAATGGCACAGTAAGGTCGCGGGTTTTTTTTTATAAATTAATATAAAAATTAAAACAATTTTAATTTAATTAAATAAATTTTGAACACCTACAGAGAAGCAAATGTATCAACATTACCAATGGAACAACAGACCGACCAACAAGCTTCAGATCCAACGGGTCCAGTCGGAACCGCAACCGGAACCACACCCGTCTCAGGAAGATCAGTAAAAACGCTACAAGGAGACGATTCGAGGGGTGTTAAAAAACATTTAGACAAAATAAGAACGGACTTAGACGAACTAACGAGGACGTTCTATAAGGCTATGGAAGATATACATGGTGGTTAGTTCCGTTCTTACTAGTATATCAATCTAAAAATATAAAACATAATTATTTTATTTTATTTTTTTATTTATTTATTCTTTATGCACAATCGTACAAAGGCGGACTTAATGCCTTAGGCATTCTCTGCCAGTCAACCTTTAGGTGATGTGGAGATTAAAATAAAGGATAAAAGTAGGTGCATTGTCATGCAACGCAATTAAAATCACTATATCCTTCTTAGATTAAAATAACATTTAAAAAGTCTTCGACCTATTTCAAGAGTTTTCTGTGACTCAGTGGACCGTCACTTGCTAGAGCAAGATTAGCGTGCTGCCCATCGCGCACCCTCTATCTTTTTCGCGCTAGAAAAGACTGTTTAGAACAACAAAAAGAGTACGCAACAATAGAGCAACGAATGATGTAGTTCAAATCTTATAGTCCATTTGCACAGCAAAATCCATAAAACCAGTACAGCAAAAATTGAAAACGATTATATTTCATTTGACTGGCTTATTTACTGGTTTGAGCATTATCTTCATTTATACATGGTTTGGTATTGGATTCTCTTGGCTATTGGCTTAGTGTGAATGGACGATAAGAAACTGATTTGCTTATTTCATCGGATATAACTTTATTCTATGGATAGATCGACTTGCACATAATTAATACTCACATTTATCAATGTGTGAATCAAATATTTTACTAAAGAGTTTTTAATAATAATAAAGGCAATTTTTAATGCCCTAAAATAACTTTAACTGATAGAGTAGGATACTTTTAATAATTGTATTAATCCCTTTTTGTCGTTTTTCAACAGAGCCATTTACTCCACCGTCGCCAGGTAATAAGCTCATATATATTTTAAAGATCTTCGTCGTTCGATCGCCATATTCCATAATAATAGAATCACACTTTAATGTTTTTAAAAGCTTTAAAACTTATAATTTCAGTGATAGTCCTATAAAAAAATTAATCAGCCATGCTTTGAAAGATTTAATAAAAAAAATAAAAAAATGCTGTTCATTTAATCTCATCACCTTTTATACGAACTGTAGGCCAAAAGTCGTCTACGGGACGATCGTCCATAGTAGCCGCAGATGTAATGACACGGATCAATGAATTGGAAAAGAAGCTGAACAAATGCTGCGACTCGATCAAGAAAAACGACGGCGTTATACAGGACCAAGTAATTTTTATCACTAACATTATTTTAACTCTTATTAGCTATTTTTTATTCGTTCTATAACTATTCTTATCGATCAATCTTCTCCCATTCTAGATCAATTCTTTCCAAGATCAATTGGAGGGTCTTATGAGACAAGTTGCAACACTTACTCAAGATCTAGCAGCTGGAAAATTATCTCCGGATCTAATAAAGGATTTACAAGGTTTCTGTTTCTAGTACTATCAACTCTTCGAAATAGGTATACAAAATAAGAAATAATTATGACTTGTATTGCTTTCAGGATTAATGGAATTGTTCACAACGGTCCAAAATATGCAAGAACAGTTGAAGCAAGTACACGAAACGGCATTAGAACTTGCTGCTGAAAAAGATGACAGACAACACAACATTGATGTGAGATTTAGAGTATTTAACATTTATCAAAAAGTAAAATCTTTAAACTAAAATAATAATAATATATTTTCCAGGCTCTACTCGAGCAAATAGAACTGTTGAAAGCTATTAAATTGGATCGCGAAGATATGTTCGAAGCCATGGCAGACAAAGCAGACGTACGAATGTTGGCAAGGAAAGTTTCGCATGATCAATTCGAGTTAGCGTGTGATGATCTTGCCAAAGGATTGGAACAGACGCTTGGGAAACTTAACTTACAGGTTGTTGTCTTACTAAAATTATAAAGACAAAAGTTTGTGAGTTTTTTACTTCTTCAAGTAAAATTGATGAAATTTGGTATGAGTACGGATATTTCTAAGCCTGATTTAACATATACACTACTGTTTATACCAACTGAAGATTTTTCTAGAGATAACGGTACTGTCAAATCATCACATAAACTACGAAGGCGAGTTGCTGCAAAATGATTTACTAGATCATTCTTTAGTAAATAATTTTGCACCAACTTATACTGCTTAACATATACATAATTTGCACAACAAAAATTACTTACAAAATAGGAAGTTTAAGAATCATTCAAGTAATGAGCACCAAGTTGTTGATATCTAGGTATTTGCTTTACTTATTTTTATGACACTGTCTTGACCGCGACTTACGTTTAAAAATTAGTTTATTTTATTTTTATTACTTCTTTGTCATTTTAGTACGAATCATCTGCCAAAACGATATCTACATTTCTAACTGAGTGAAACAGTATCCTTTCAAAATGCTTACCTAAGTACATAAGGTTAACATTTTTGAAGGATAGGATAAAATTATCTTACGAGAGAATAATAAATATGCACAGGAAGCAATATGGCAGCAAGCCCTAGACGATATACAGCGAGAGATAGAGATGAAACTGGACAAGATGGAACTGTCACCGGTGAAGGACTTCTTCAACAACAAGCTACGGCAGTTACAAGATAATCTTAAGCGGATGGCTTCGCTACGGCAAGAAGCAGAAGCAGCTGGCACCAAGAAGAAATTATTACGGTATATATTGCTTATTACTTTTAAAATTACGGAATTACGGATTCTATTGATAAAACAACTCTAAAAAGGCTCTAATCGTCTGGACCGATCAAATCAGTCGCTGAATAGCTATTTTCCCGTAATGAGGAAGTATTTAAAAAAAAACGAAAGCACTAGAAAAGCACCTCCACTAGATGGCGACTCTAAGAAAAGTTGATTTTTGCAGGAAATGAATGGACCAAAGACAGTCATTTCTGTTCCTTTTAACTAACATATTAAAAAAACTGAAATTTGAAAAGTTTGAAACTAAAATATCAATACAAATACGAAAAAGTACAAATAAAATATGAGTTGTTTACTGAATTTTGAAAACTAATTTACTTTTAAACATGAAAGAAAACCGGAAGGGTTGTCATGGAGAAATCAAGAACGTACCGTAGCGTCATCTAGTTTGATTTCGGGAACTAATGTTTTTTTTTAAATACGTCCTCATCAAATTTAAACTCAGTTCTCCGGTTACAATGAAAGTATATACAAAGAATTTATCTCTATCAGAAGATTGCGCGACGGAATTTCGGCTTATCACTAAAGATGCATCAGTTATGCCATCTTATTCGAAGCATATTACAAGTTTCCTGTATTTTTGTTTGCAGTGACGTCAAATGTATTTCGTGCGATGCAAAAGCCGTAATGAACGCCGAAGCTCCGAGCACGGTGCCAGTGAGCCGTCCGCTACCCGCTAACATGTCTATGAAACCATATCTCAGCTACGAACTCGGTTATTATATCTTCACAAACTTTTAATAACCAATTCCGTTAGCTAAACTTGCCTATTGAATTTGACTTAAGTGCTTCTATGTAATTGTAACTCTGGAGTTGGATTTTCTTTATTTATGAGCTTCTGCTAGTAGAATCAATTAAAAACAAAGATCTTCAAATGTCAGAATCAACATACTTTACCAAAGACTCCGGATACCTCGAAATTTAAAACTTCTGCAAAATAACAAGAATACTTAAATTTTTATGCATTTATAGTGGTGTATTTTGGTTTCTATGATTTGTTTACATACATTTCGGAAGTTCGACTTAATGTGCTAATATTTGAAGCGGATAATTATAGTAATAATAAATAACATACACACATAATAGGCACTTTTTAGAATTTTCGTTTATGAGCATGACGACCTCGGGAAACGTTTTGTCTACACGCATATTTCACTTTTCACCAGCGCAACCATACAGTATCTTACACTTCGCCTGTTTTTAAGTCTGTCGACATTGTCATACGCGAGCTGTTCTAAGAATTTACTGATTTTGGACGGAATCCTTAGTTTACAATCTTGATTGAAGTGTAATCTAACGATTGCATCCAAAATCAGATAAATCAATATACATTACATATAATATAAAAGCCATAATTAGGATCCAATGTTTCGCTTCGCTAGAGACCGCAAACAATTATGGCCTTATTATTCCAGACTCAACACGTTCACCGTTCACAGGAATCCATCCAGAAGAGTATTCAAGCGCCGTGGCGGCAAACCACAACACAACTATTTAGGATTCCCTATCTGTTTCTGGATAATTTTATTGATTCGATTCAATGGTATTATAAGTACGCTTTCTTAGAAACAGATCTGTACTTAGCAGTCTGTTTAACATTGTCAACATTCAACACCCGGGTCCTATTTAGGTCATTCACACTTTACATTATCATATATTCCGTATATAGCTCCATAAGGCTAGACTTTATGTTGATAGTTCGGCTCCTAAGCCACGGTCGTTGTTTCTGATAATATATTCACACAGTTTATTACATTTTTAGATGTTTACATGCATATATGAGCAAAGGTTTCTAATCAATTGTCATAATTCGTAGTGGGTTTATTTATAAACTAATAAAATGTTTTTACCGACTTGGTAATACGCTGTGACGGACTAAGGAGGGGGAGACCGCCCCGGGCCTCTGGGGAACCTCCAAATGAATGCAAGTTCGCTCGATCAGATCATAAATTGGGGTTGGAGTCCCCGTTTACAAATAATGACAGTCTATATGAAAAATCTCAGGGCCTGGCCCCCAAAAAAATACACAAAACCTCCGCCCGACTTTAATAACATTTTCTTGAATAAGTCGCTTTTGAGATAACCATTATTTATCACTTTTTTTAAGTTTGAAGTCGGTTCTTTTTTAACGGTCCAAATTTCACAATGTTTTAACTAGAAAACAAGGCGTGCAATCGTATGGCGCCATCCCATTAAATAGCAAGTCGCCTAATTGTGAACGGCTGTTTGAACCAGTAGTTTCTACCCTGGTTTGAGGGGTTTGTGGGTTAGTCCACCAATAGTAATACAATACGTCTTTCTCTCTCATTGACAGACCTTATTACGTTAGCTAATATAGAAGTAGATGGCGCTAGCTGTCTCAGTTAAGATCGATTGAGTGCAGAACTAATAATTTCTAAGTGTTATCCAAACAAAATTATGAATATTTAAAATTTTATAACAAAAAGTGATTTCGTGATATTTATAGTATAATGTTTTGCTATTGATAATTCAAGAAATTACAAGTGAAAGTCAAAAAAGCACTAGAGGATCCAATATTCTATCATCTGATATCCTGATGATAATTATCGAGTAACAGTAAGTGGCCGGAATTGTGTTTGGCAAAGAAATAACGTTTATTTTTTAATAAATAAAATCACCATTCAGCTGACTACTCATTTACTTCCTATGGATTCTGTTTGAGATAGTTCAGCAACCTGAGAACAGGTGACATTACTTACTACTTTGTCACTAGGTGGAGCTACTTGGAAATACAATCAAATAGTTATATTTTTAAGAATCACATTAGTAAGCAGTGTTAAATTTATAATAAAAATGGGAAAACATAATGTTCCCTAAGTGTGCAAAGTGTGTCATTGTAAATAAACACATATAAGTATGTACTGTACGCACAATCGTTATCGTTTATGCAATGTGTTAATATATTTCAAATATTTTATGTTATATGTGACATTTAAATCGTATTTTATAATGACGAAGTATTAAAAAAGAAAGCACTGAAAAAGCACCTTCACTAGATGGCGACTCTAGTATAAGTTGATTTTTGCAGGAAACGAATGGACCAAAGATAGTCATTTCCGTTCCTTTTAACTAACATATAAAAAAACTGAAATTCGCAATGTTCGAAATTTAGATATCAATACAAATACGTAAAAGTACAAATATAAAATGAGTTGCTTATTGAGTTTTGGAAACTAATTTACTTTTATACATGAAAGAAAACCAGAAGGGTCGTCATGGAGAAATTAAAAAGTACTGTAGCGACATCTAGTTTGATTTCGGGAACTAATATTTGTTTTTTAAATACTTCTTCATTAATACTGTTATTGTTTCTGATATAGTTCATATTCTTTGACATTTTTTTTTTATTTTTATTAATTAACAAGTTTTTGTTGACATTAATGCTGTATTAAATACACTGTATTAAATACAATTTAATTAAATATTTGTATGCTAATATACTATAGTTGAATTGGTGTTACTAGATGTGTCCAACTATTTGTCATCTTGTAGGTACATTCTACCGTGTTCAAACACAAATAAATAATTATATTCTATCTAGCGTCAAGCGCAATCTCGATCAACTATATCCCTGCTCACTATGGAACTGTGATTTGCAGATGCTATCCGCAAGACGCAACAGACAAATATGCCGCAACGCAATATGCACGACTGGGAGGCTATAGACAAGCAAATGGGACCCAAGCCACCACCTAAACCAAAGTAATGCCCTTATTCTCATCCAATACATAACTAACTCGTATACGAAATATAAACTTATGTAACGTTATATATGAAATTGAATTTTTATACTTAGGTACGGGACAAGTGAAACGAAATAATCAAAATAACATTTTTTGGTCTATTTTTGATATAACAATCAATAAATATGGCCTATAATCAATTGTTGTTTAACGGTTTTCTATAACACTGCGTGCTCTTGACTGAATCATTACGCACGCCCGCACATCACACTACACACTACCACCGTAAGACGAAGCGCGGTCGGTATAAGTCCACAATGTATAGTCTGACGTGCAGGCATTGTGACGTGCACTTCCTCCATTTTGTAGGTTGTTCGATTGCTGAAAAAATTGTGTGTCACTCATTTGTTTTGGTGACTTATGAAACGGAAATATCTGAACCTAAATTTGTAATACGTATTCCGAACCAATATGCAGATACATATAACAGTCCAATGTTTCATTCACACTGCTATACTGACAAATATTTTTAATGAAAAATAATTAAAAATCCACCTAGTCCCTGGCACTCTGAGATGGGACTCGAACCCATGACCTTTCGCAATCCGAGCGACTGCTCTACCAATGATCTGCCCAGAACCTAACAGGACTGACGAATTTCTTAAGCACTTGTTACTTTTCCGCTATTCGCTACAAAGCATATTTTCATTAATGTTCAGGCAATTCACTCAAATAGCAGAAAAAAAATCTTTTAACAAACATTTAAACTTCCAAAAAGATGAAAATTTGTTCTTAATTATATTTGTTCAATTTTGCATTAATGAAAAATGTTTTAAAAATCCATTTGTCTCTGGCACTCTGAGATGAGACTCCAACCCATGACCTATCGCAATCCGGGCGACTGCTCTAAGGACCTAGGACCTAACAGGACTGACGAATTTTTCAAGCACTTATTACTTTTTCGCTACTGAGCGTTTTTTCATTATTGTTCAGGCAATCCACCCAAACAGTCGACAGAAATATTTTTACATATATTTTAAACTTTCGATAGTATGGAAAAAGGACATGATTCTTTGCATAGACGCTTGAGAGACAAGATGCCTCTCTACCATCTTGCCGCAAGTTCGATTGCCCGAGGTGAATTTCCAGCCACACCGTCCTATTAAACGTTACAATTTAACGTTTTCCCTTCTGTCATTGTTAATTTACTTTAGGCGGCCAGAGGTTAAAACTGAGTATTAACTTTAACTCTCGTTTTATAATAAAGAACATCATAACAGACGGTTAAGATGCTATAATATTTCATCATAAGATAACATATTTTAACATTTTAAGCTGTCTATCATACATTATAATGTATGTATTTCGTATCTTAACATACAGTCTTAACCTACGAAATGTACATATATTTCCGTGTCGCTTGGCATCTTAAGATACTTATTATGGAACTCTTGAGATGCTCAGAGTGCTAGGGTTCGTATAGCATTGTGAATCTAAAATTAATCAAATATCCGTCTATGTTAGGCCATTACTATGTATGGCGAGCGATATTTTATCACAACACATTAATATTATAGCATATTACCCGTCTGTTACGACCTTAATACGGTTTGAGTCTTGTTAAGTCTTCTTATTGCTTATTAATTTATTAGACTTATCTATAACCTATGTCAGGTCTGAAGGTGATAAGCACCTTTGTAACCGTTACTGTGGCGGTTCGCACACGGTAACGACGGCTGCTCAACGCGTCGCTCGACTGGGGCACTTCGTCAAGCAGTGGGGGCCTGATGTGCTGCCGTTGTCGTCTGGTCTCGCTGCTGGCGACGACGGCAGGGTAGGTACACTTAATGATTTCGTCGAAATTGTTATACCTACGCACCTTAAAATGTATAATTTAGACAATTTACAGTTCGTTTGATAAAATAATATACTAGTGTTCACCCAGTATTCAAAAAAATTATGGAACAAAAGATGAATCTGTTGATATCAAGAATAGCTTTTAAAACCATAGTTTACCTCCACAAGTAAAATTCTATGCGTCTCATTCAAAATTGGGTTTTTAATTTGTCTTTTATTATTTATGTTATTTATCTAAAGCCAACGTACAGAGTCATGGACCACTCTCCTTAACCATCCATAAGGAAGGCCTGAGCCCTTGCAGTGGGAACGTAAATGGGCTGATGATGATGATGAACTATGTAATAAGTACTATGGTTTTTCATTATGGTCTTATTAAGCCCCTCACACCCCATCTGCTGTGGGACTAGCCCCAGAGACGGTCCACCGTCTAGGGAAAAGGTAGTCAGGTACCCGGTTTTCTCCGCCAGCAAGAGAGGGGCTAGGGGCCCCGGACCCGGCGGCTCCTTGCCGGATAAATATTTTGACTATTGCCTTTCAATACATCTATGAAAATTGTTATATTCGTAAGAAAACATTACGATTCCCTCACAAGAAAAAAGTGAGTGTTCATAATATTAACACAAGAAATGAAATTAAATTGGCTGTTCCAAGCTTCACGACTTCAAAAAACCAGAGGATAATTTCTGGGTAAATGCATTGCTATATTCAATAAAGTTCCACAAAATGTAATTAACCTACCCGTAAATAAGTTTAAAATTCATGTAAAGAACATACTTTTGAGTAAAGGCTTTACTCAAACTCATACTTTTGAATAAAGTTGATAATTATTTTCAGGACCGCAATGCATGGAATTAATAGCCTCTGCTTTGTTCTATAACGACTAATTATATGTACCAACCGATATCCTACAGACTTTGAAAATTGTATTTATTATTTTTATAATACATACGTACTATTATGGTAATGACATGATTTATGTAAATGTCGTGGTAGGGGCTTCTCCTGCGTTAAAAAAAGGATATACCTTTATGAATAGTATATAAAGACTACATTAAATGGGAGGTGTCTACAATTTCTACGTTTTGTCATATTATCATTAAGTTTTTCCAACCTGAAACGACTCTGGGGCAATTAAGGGTGTAATCTCCTTTTTACACTTCCTAATTTTATTATTTATATACTTATTGCAGCTCTATAAAGTGACTACTACAGAGGCGGCGAACGTAGGGCCAGGTAATAGATATATAATTTATTATAGGTTATGTTTTTAATAAAATTGATGTTAAAATAAAAGTAAAACGAAATATATGTTAGGTGGTGCTGTTGACCCTACGTGTACTCCTAAACCACCACCAAAAGAAAATCAAGAGAAACCAAAACCACCTCCGAGACCCATGGTGCTCAGTAATGTAAGAAATTTTTAAAATCATTGCATTAATTATTCGTATCTCGAACTCCTTGCTCAACCCGTAGGTCCAGGCTATATCTACACAATTCGCCCTATTTGATTCCACACATAGAGAAGACCAACGGGGAATCATGTAAAGATATCAATTTTGATCATATCAGATCAACGTCTACTTTGTTTTATTATTTTCTTTTGCAGGAATGTCGCTGCTTGGATGGGGGTAAATAAAACAACTCGAATATTGTAAATGAACTGATATTACGTACTTAATTTAGAAAATCATTTATATGTTGAATAAAGATTGTTTTTATTTGACTTGTGTTATCAAACTATCTACTTATATCATGTACTAGGTATTTTACCGCGACGTTGCCCACGTAAATTATAAATGAATATAACTTCAATTTTCCGTAGGTGAAAGAATTTTTATAATCGCATAAGTTATTCCTGCGATTACCCCGTACAAAGAAACAAGGTTAAAAACTTTATACCTCGTTATAATATTAGCGTATATTCTTATTATTTGTACCAATATAGTATTTATATCTACAGATATGGCCGCTATTGTAAATTTGGGCCGTAAAGGGCTAATACTAGTGCCAAAAATTTCTAGCTGTTCCCTGGACTTTACCCGCGTAAATTATAGCCTGGTACCTGCGTATGATGTAGCTTCTAGTATGTGAAAGAATTTTTAAAATCAGTCCAGTGGTTTCGATGCCTATTCAATTTAAAGAAACGATCAAATCTTGCGCTACCCTCTACTATTTTGTAATGAATTCTAGATCCATCTACTGTGTAGATCCTAGATTCAAGTCCAAAAACAGTCCGTTAGGAAATGAGGTCAAATAGCCACGCTTTGAACAAATGACAAAAAGCCTGCCAAGTGAGAATCAGACACGTGCACGATGGATTCCGTACCATTATCTAATAAAGAAGAAAAAAAATATGTTTTTTGTTTTATGCGGAGTTGTTCAAAATTTCCAAGTTAGATAAAATTGGTCGACTATTACATCCACATCCCAATGTTTTGAAAGACCTATCCCACGATGCCCAACACTATGGGTAAGACGTAAAGGAAAATTATCTCCGCTGTACACTTTGAAATTTTACTTCAACTTTGGCGGCGTAATCAGCGTGTGTTACAGATTACAAGGTTTTAGTACTAATAATTTTTGAGCTAAACCGCGGACGGACATGAAGAAACAATAAGGGTTCCTTGTTTACTAACGTCTTCACTGATAATTCATCCTGGTCCTCCTGCCATACGCTATTGGTATTAAAATATTTATCTAGAATTTAAATTTTTGTATTTTTTTTACTTTCAAACCTCTTTTTAGTCGCACCAAAAATGGCCGTTACACTGGTCCGTGGATAAACACGCGGAGCGCGGGCAACTTCTGTGCGCTCTTCTAATTGGTCAATAAGATAATAACAGAAATTGTCCTCACGCCGCACGCGTTTTCAGCGATCTAGGCAACTGTACTACTTATTTGAATTATGTATATTCTATGTGTAATTCAATGCTGTTGTTTCCCAAGTGAATAAATAAATCATAAAAATCATATCAGTAAAAAAACACCATGTCTACACAGTACCTTTTTATTTTTAATAGCAAGTCTAGATTACCGTACAAATTCAGCTTACAGATATAATCACAATGAATCAATCAATAGTGAAATAAAAAAAATGAATTCTGTAAATTAACAAAACCGTTGAAATGTTTAAGCACCTTAAATCTAACCACTTCATATGGAACATTGGACAATGAAAGTTACTTATATTTTTATATATTATAAAGTACACCTTAAGAGTATTAGACAAACGGCTTACATATACAAATTGGTTATATTTTTTTATAAGTGAAAATGACCGGATTTTGAAACTATCACTTTCAATTATAAAAATTGTTGTCTGATATTTTCCGTTGTCTTCCTACAAAAATATGACAATCTGTAGTCATAAGATCAGCTGCTATTATCACAGTAAGCTACGGAAAAAATCTGACTATCTGACAAGAACTAAAACTCAGTCGCACTTGTCAGATTAATGTCAGAGTAGACAACGGGAAAAATACCTGACAAGAGCAACTGTGACCAAATTCCTATATAATTAATAGTAACGGAAACCATTTAAGCAAAACTATCAAAATATCTCTGTAATAGAGATGAAAGAAACTTTCAAAGCATAACTTATGTTTAAGCAATAATTTGTAGTAAATAATGACTCTGTTGAAAATTAAATATACCTGTTTATTTTTCCCTAAACAGATTTTAAACAAACTATACTTTAATCTAACGCAGTGTGCGTTAGATTTAAGTATAGTTTGTATATTTTGTATGCGTCAGAAACTCAATCGCATAAGGTACGTTCGAACATTTCGCATAAATGAAGAACAGAAGTACCTGCTAATACTAAAATTATGATACACTGCGACCAGCGGCTCTACACGTAAATGACGGATTGAATGATATGTCAGACTAACAGTCATTCAATCTGACAGATCATTCACGACTGCATTTTAACAGATCAATCGGAGCTTCAGTAATGCTACGGAATACCCTCTACAGAAGTCACCCCAAAAGCACAAACTTACTCCCACTTCACTAAAATTGAAAAATATAAATGGTAAATACATATATGGTATACAATAGAGATGCGTGTTAGGTGCTACCGTCCCCTTTATGTAAGTTTTACACGGGGAATAGAGAAACATGAAAATATATGATGTCCATCATACACATTCGAGATCTATGATAAAAAAACGTAATCTTATATTATTAAACTATTTACAAACACAATTCCTATCGTTAACAGTTTCAAGTCATAGTATATTAGATAAGCCTTAGCCAAATTTTCAAATCAATAATCCGCAACAACTTGGGTGGAAAGGGGTTTAAACCTCGTATTAGTATTTCTTACGACGGAGGGAGAAACGCTATACTTACCTAAGGTCACATAAAACCCGCAAAGTTATTTTATTACATAATATTTTAGTACTTTTAGTACCTACAAAAATGTAAGCATTTTTTTACTGAAATACCTTTTTTTATATAACGTTTATAAACACAATGAAGGCACCAGGAACAAAGCGGATTTTTTAAAGCATTTTTCATTAGATTATTTTCCAGTATACCATTGTGAGTGTAAAATTAAATATAATAAACAGAGAAGAGTGAAAAACTATGTCAAGTAATAAATGACAGGCGTCTTAATTGGTTCAAATATAACTAGGACCGTGTTGTATTAAAAAATATAATACGATAATTTAAATTTTTACAACCAATCTAAATACAGTATGCTTATATACAAAACTGTAAATTCAGCAATTTTTATTAATATTGAACGTCCATGAATTTTGGTTAAAGGCAAAATTGAATAAACGCTGCTATAATTTAGTACAAATTACAGCAGTACGCCAATTTAGTACCTATCGAATTTCCGGAGTTGATTTTAAACTATACCGTCAATGGATTAAAATCAAGTGGAAAGATTAAACAGCTCCATATAAACTGACTCAAGATGCGATGGCAGCGACTCCGGCAAGAGAGAGAACGAAAATATATTAAATTGTATCACATTATGTGACTTGGCGATTCACAACCCTGCCACTCGAAACGCTTGCAATAAAATACATACATATGAATCAGCGCTATATTGTTACCAAAGGGAATTACTTGAAAAAATGTCATAGCTTGATGATATTTTTATCCAATAAACAAGAATTTGAATGAAGTAAAAACTATTAATAGTTAAAATATTATTATTATTACTTAAATTCTCGTTTATTGGATAAAAATAAGTGCTTAAAGTAATTACTCCTACTCGACTATAGATACGATCGTAGTGTGACGACTGTGGCATCGAACGACGTAACCTTTTGAAATGAACAAACAAACAAAAGCATTTATTTGACATTTAATATTATTGGGAATTACACAAAATTAATATACGACGTGATTAGTTTGACTTAACACATCGTAGCTTTTACTTGGCGTTAAAGTTTATTCTCGACCATGTATTTTTGTTTAAAATGGACACGAAATAATATTTCAAATACCTCAATTAGATATACCCAATGAGTAATACTCAAAAGTGGAACAATAGGAATAAATTCCCTATTCGTATTTAGAATCCAACAAGTTGGGATCTTTTTCGTCACGAGTAACACTTATCTTCCGGGTGTTGCTACTTGGTTCTAAACTATAAAATGTCGCCATAATATGCAACACTGAACATCGTTGGCATATTTTTCCCAACTAATAACAGCGATGCACGATTTGAATGTTACTTATTAAGAAAATATATTTATATTAGGCATCCGGTGGCACAAACTATGTTACGTACCAACTTAAAAAAAAAATAGGAAAAAATACCAATGAAATACACAGCTTGCGATTCACATGTACATATTTTGTTGTTACACACTTATAAACATCTAAAATAATAGCCAGACATTTTACATTCGCAAATTCACCAGTCATATAAGTATATAATATTTTTTGTCTCATTTATTGATGAAATTTATACAAGTCTAATGGCCAATCACAGCTAGAAAGGAAAAACTGTAGTACACGAGATATCACTAAATTTAAAAACAATAATATAGTCAACTTATTTTTAGAAATAATAACATTACCAAATACGATCTGCGTACATACATAGTGCCATAGACATAATAGTGGGTCTTTTGACAACTCTGACCCTTGATAAAGAAATATTTGAACTTATACAAAGCAAAATATCACCTACAACAGGACAATAAAACTGAAATCTGTTTAACAATAAGCGGTTATGTCAAATCGTTTCTTATTAACAAACTAAGTTTTGGATAAATGCTATTATTAATTGCAGAGGTTAACCGGCCCCATGTGTTGGCATTGTAGAGTGAGATAGGTATCTAACGGTGTCTCCCTCTAGCACTATAGTGGTTACCATCTCGACTGTAGCGGCGTTCCTTGCGGTCGTCTCTGTTACCCCGTGAACGGTCACGTCTCTCCCTATCTCGTGTATATTCTTTATCGTGTCCCCTAAAACGAGATATTCATATGAGTAAATTTAAACTTAACCAACTGTCATAAAACAAGTACACCGACTGCTTCCGTAACCGAATGGTTTCGTATACGGTTTCAATGAGGTCATTTACGAGGTCCTGGGCTCGATTTTACTTTTCTATACTGTCTTGGGTCTGGATATTGTAATGCCTTCGTTGCCTCCATAATACGGAGGCTTTAGCTAGTCATCTTGGAATTATTTAAAAAAAAACTGTTCCTTGTACAGCTATTTCAGGCTAATATGACGTGATTGCAAGCCCTACCAACAACTTATCGATCAATAAAAATAAGTTATACGGGAAATAGCATAGTTGTCTTACCTGGATTCGCCTGCGGTGCGTCCATCGCGAGACTTGTGCCTGCTGGTGGAACCAGCTGACCTTGACCTTGGCGATCTAGACCGGGACTTACGACCTTTAGGCGAAGATTCCCTTTCGCTGTTCAGGTTGAAATCATCGAACCTATAACAAAAATAATAAGGTTCCATTTAGCATACTCCCGTATCGTAATAGGACAAGTAGTCCTTATCACCACTAGCCTAATATTGTGCAGACGAGACCAAGGGTTTAAAGTGCCTTCTGAACCACGGAAGAGATAGAGATAAAAAAAATCTGGTCACCCATCCTATGACCGACCCTAGCTAAAGTTGCTTAACAACGGTATCGCAGACGCAGCAGCTAACTAACCACTGCACCAGAACCTGCTACAAAGTATGAAGAAAACAGTATTATAAAAAAAAAGACACCATCGGGCTCCAAGTAGTAATGCGACATATCTGTGAGAATAATCGTAAAACCTAACCCAAATGCCGTTAAACTATATTTTATCTCTTTCGTTTTAACGACGAATGAGAGAAACCAAATACTTCGCAATGTCTGTGATTGTAAGATCTTTTTTATGAATAAGGGCGTAAGAATATAAGTCATAAAGGTGTTGTGGATAGACTACGGACGATAAACGTTCTTTGAGTGAAAAGTAGCTTTAGGGATTGGCATAGTTATTTATTCTTATTACTCTAGTCATTTGCGACAGTTCCTTTTAGTGGTACCGTTAAAACTATATAATCCAGCCAGATTAAATGCAGAATATATGTAAACTAATCAAATTAGGGTCATCACAACTCAGATGATAAAAAATATGTATAATACTCGTATTATAAAATATAAAACTCGCATTTCTCACCAGGATACTGCGCATTAGGTACGTTTTAATTTTACGACTAATAATTTCTTACTGCCACATATTACTAGAAACGCACAAAACCTTCAATATTTTGGCAAAAAAAAAGTAAAATAGTAATAATTCTGAAATTATTTTTATTTGTCAGCCCTTAAACTTATAGAATCCAGATATTTGATACATTTTGCACTTTCAAACTAACCTTCCAAATATTTTTTTTCTTTTGCATAAATAAATATATATATATTTATTTTGTTTTTTTTTTATGCAAAAATATTTTTTAAGTAGCAACTTAAAATAAATTAGTTTATATAATGCACTAGTATAAATAAATTACGAGTTTCTCACTTTTTCTAAAGAGTGAGAAGATCGTGTTACCCTAACTGAATCTCTTACGCATATCAGTTGTATAATATTTAGCACGATTGCAGGAGACTCGCCGCATAAGCTATCCTGTTATCATTATATGATCAGTTACACAAATGTCCATTATGGTTTAATGACGCCTTTAAGCTCTAATGAATGTCAAATTGTATGGGTAATGTCACTTTAAACTAATGAAAATATTATGGACGTTTATGCAACTCGTTGATAGACATATGTAATGCGAACTTTATTTTTATTGTCATAACTTACTTGTTTTTTGGTGCATTTGTTGAGCTGTGACTAGAGCTGGAGCTGGATGATGAACTCGAAGAAGACGATGAGCTCCGAGATCTGAAAAATACGGTAACCAGTAATATAACTAATGCTTTTTTAAAATCAGCCCAGTACTTTTGGAGCGTATTCAATGCAAAGGAAAGATCAAATCTTTGTCAAACCAAAAGTTGATGAAGGTTGTACATCAACAAGAGATAGAATATGAAAGATATTTCATAACTTATATTCAAGTAACTTTTAATATACCTTTTCTTCTTGTTATTTTTTGTTTCTGGCGATGCAGATTTTCCGTTTTTGTCCCCCTTATCTTGTCCCTCTTTCGAGGTTTCACCCTCTTTGGACTTATCTGGAGCTTCTGTAATATCAATAAATAGATCAAAATGCAAAACAGGCCGCTTAGCATGACGAGTTAGAGAACATTTTGTCTTTACCCAAATGTCACTTTTCTCGAACGCGCCCATACGACAATTCACTCACGACTCGAAAAAAATGGCGTTTGGTGTAGAAACACCAAGGCAAATTAAGCGTTTCTTTTAAGATAAGGAATAGTTTTTAAAATCGCTTTTGAAATAGATATTTGCCTAATTACCTGCTTTAGAAGCATTTACTTCTGTATCACTGCCCCATAAGTCATATTTTGACAAGTCTGCTTCATCTCCAGACTCCTCTTCGTCTTCTTCTTCGCCTTCTTCTTCATTCTGTGATGCCGACTTGCTCTACAACAAAAAAATAAGATCAAAAGAATTTACCTAGAACATTTTACTATAGCATAATATTAATTTCCGTCGTTTCTTCTTAATTACGCCTCCTACCACATTTTAAATGTTATGGCAGATACTTCCAACTAACATAACTAACATAGCGAGCGCGCGGGACACGTACTGACTATTGCTTTAAGAACTCACGGTTGGGCCCCAGAGATTCAAATTTGATTGATGTCTGAACGTACGATTTAAATGTACAATGAATCTTGTTACAATAATCATAAAGTGTAAAATACAGCGCGGTCTCACTCACTCTCATCAGGCCTGCGGTTTACCCAATAGCGTAATGACATCTTGAATCATTCAGAAGTTTGACCTAAATCAAAGTGAGTTTTCTAATAATTATATAACTACTACTATCTTCAATAGGGACTAAAGTTAGTACTTGGTTTAAACCATTAGCTGCCTAAAGCAAATTGACAAGGACAGAAGTAAAAAAGTTAAATTGAGACATATTCACTTATTTTAGTAGGATGCTTTAAAACTGGTACTAAAGATAGTCCCCGTTTTATAATAAGGCGGTTCAACTTTCGCATTGCATTGCAATAAATTGTACGGAAAATAACTGGAAAAGGTTGAAAAGCCTAATTAATAATTACAATCTCGTTTATACTTGTTCTCTAGAATATACAAAAATATTTGGTTTGATAGCTAATAACAATATGGCTTCGAACGATGATAAGGCTCGTAGGGACTAACTACATACATTTATATTAATTTCAGGTTCATTAAAATTTTTGGAGTACATTTTATTGTAATTAGACGATATGATATCGATTAACGTAGCTTTAAAAACTTTAAGAGCATTCAACTACAAGTTACATTATATGCAAGTGACAACTGCATCAAGAAGCATTCTTTCGAAATATTTAACAATCATATGCGGTACAATAGCACTTCGACACAAATAAAACATCTTTATGAACAATAAAGAGACCATGAAAATTATTTTGCATACGGGAAGCTGTATCATAGGCTATAATTTACGCGGGCGAAGTCGCAGGAAAACAGCTAGTATATAATAATAGAAATGAAAGGTATATGTGTCAGACAGAAATTTGACGACCTCTAATTTAAACAAAGATTCTTAATAATAACTTTTTTCAAGGAATTGGTGTTCCCATGCGCTCTCTATATTATGTTTATTATGAATAGCTAGGTTATGACGTCATAAGCGCATATAGTTCTAATTTTATCTCATTTTTTTCACAGTAATTTTTTAAAATAATAAACATTTAGACATTACTTTGCTTAGATGCCAAATTAAGTAGCTAAAGCATATAACGCAAGTTGTTTCAGACTTCAATAATTTAAATAACCACAACATCCAAACCTATGTCAAAACCTATAGAAAAGTTCATGTTCGACATTGATCCGACCGGGAATCGAACCCGGGACCTCAGATGGCGACATCTGGCGACAAATGGCAATCGCGACAAAAGTCCGAACTACACTGCGAGAATTAATATCACAATTATTTGAGTGAAACAATGCTTCAATTAATTTAGGGAAGATTGGTTTAGATGATGGCCAGTTAAAATAGATAAAAAGAAATATCTATTGATTTAGATCTGCCCTATTAGTCTGCTTTTCTAATACATATCATTTCTTAAAAAAACAGTGGTTCAAGTAATTTTTTTTGTAGTTAAAAGTTGTATGCTTTTAATCTGAATCAAAGTAAAGGGGACCGAGCCTATGTGATAATTTTCTAGTGATAATTAATTTTATTATTTATAAATGTCTAAAAAAAATCGATCTAATATTTAGTTTACACACAAGTAATTATTATACAAACCTTTTTCTTCCTTCTCTTCATTCCATTTGTAGAGCGTTTTTTAGTGCAATCAGAAGGCTTTACAGCTAACTTTAACCTATTAAGTAAAATTGGTTTTGGTAAAGCAAAACTTTTGAAATTCCCAATAACAGGGGCATTCTCATTTAAATGTGGTTTTTGTACATCCGATTTGTTCACATCAGGATTTTTTAGATTTATATTAAGCTTATTATTTGTCATATTTGGTGGGACCACTGGTCCAGGATCGAAAATATCACTTAAAAAAGGAGTGTCACCAGTGTTACCATCTAATTTTTGCAATTCCCTTTCAATGCCATCATCGTTAGATTCTCTTTCCCATTCCTCGTCATTTGTTAAGTTAATGGTCTCTACTTGTTCCACTTCATCACTTACATTATTGATCTCATTAACTTTCTCAGCAGTTTGTGTTAAAGATCCTTGATTTATATGCTGTAGATTTTGTAGAGCTAACAAAATTGTATTGGTATTAATTCCAGCTAATATATTTGAAAAATCAATATTGCCTACAGGTTTCGGCTGTTCGATAGGCATTTGATTTGGTTTGTTTTGAGTTTCTGCCTGTGCATATTCTGATACTTGAGATGTATTAGTCACATTGCTATGATTTGATAAGTGTTGTTGTATAATATTATTTTCATTATTCGTAAAAAAATTATTTTGGTCTGGTTTATCAGTATTGGGATGGAATGAAATATTTTGGTCTGTTTTAGTGCCAGGACGAATAGTGATAGATTCCAATACATGTACCTTTCTCTGATTATTAATTACTTTTGGCGAAGTTCCTTGAGATTCTACATTCATAGTCTCTTCAGAAATACGTATTATGTCATTAGAAAGCTCCATTGGTATGGGATCTGGCTGTGTTTTTATTAGTTTGCATGGTTTCTGTGGAGAACGACATTTGTCAACAAGTATGTTTTGTGCAAATATGTGTTCAGAGACTGGTAAACTAGTAATATTTTCAGATTCTATGCCTTTAACAGACTGCATATCTTTCAAGAGACCTACAAGATTGTCATGTTTGTTACTTATAAAATCTGGTGTTATGTTTGTAGGTGTATTGCCAGCTTTTGCTTCATTGTCAATTGCATACAACATGTCAGATGTAGGACTTTCAGATTTATTGGTGATGAATTGTGCATTTGACTGATGTTCTACAGTTGTATCATCATTATCATCATCAGAGTTTTTATAGAGAGCATCATCATCATCGTCCCATTGAGTTTCAAACACTTTTTGAGTATTAGCATACTTTTCTAAATCATCATTTCTTTCTGGACTCCTTTCTTCTAGATTTTGGTCATTAAAAATATCCAAAATACTACGATTTTTAGAGAATGAATTAGTCTGAACAATATCAAAAACACGTGTCGTTTCTTCGGGCATTGCAATGAAGTCAGGTTGAATGACATCAAAAATATGTGATTTAGTTACTTCAGGTGTTTTTTCAGGTTGAGAGTTGGACTGGATGCCATCAAAAAAACCAGTTATTGATTCAGGTTTTTCAAGCATAGGTATGGAGATGGACTGAGACATATCAAATGTACGCAATATTCCCTCTGGTGATTTTTCAGGCATAGGTATGGAGTCAGGCTGAACTACATCAAAAATACGTGACATTAGTGTAGGTGATTTTTCAGGCAAAATTTTAGAATTTGTGTGAGCATTGGGTATTTTTTCTGGCAAAGGTATAGAGTTAGCCTGAACAACATCTAAGGTATGTGATATTAATTGTGTTTTTTCTGGCACAGTTGTAGTGATCTTTTGATAAGGTTTATCAAAACACAAAAATTGATCGTCATTTCTAAAATTATCAAAATTATTTTTAGTAAAATCATCATTTTTATTTCTATATATTGGTTGATTAATCTGAGGTTTTTGGGACGATAAATATCCATGATTTGGTGTTGAGAAATTTTGTTTTGGTAGTCTGTTAAAACTTTGGCTTATTGGTGGTCTTGACATATGAGCCATTTTTCCTAGGGCTGTGCCATTACCCTTTGCCCAATACCCTTTTCTTCTCACATTATTCTTGAACTCTTCATAATTTTTAGTGCTTGAACCTATTCTGGATGGAACATATTCAGTTGAACATGCATCTGTGTCTAAATTGATATTTTCACCTCTAACATTCATATTGCGCAAATTAGCAGTATAAATATTTCCAGTTGATAAAGGCGATTTCTCAGTTGGCTTTACTGTGCTATATCCCAAAAAACTGTTGAGATTTTCTACTGTTTCATAATTGGTAGGTTTCATGGGAACTGTAGGTATTGGTCGTTTTTTAACTTTACGTTTCTTCTTGCCATCTCCAAAGACCCTAGACAAGAAATTATCTTCATCACTATGGTATGAAATGGAATCTGAACCAGAATCATGAACAGATACCTTTGATGCAATACTATTTTTATTACAATTTGAAATTTTGGCATCATTTTTATTTTTGTCTATCTGCTCTGAATCAGTATCGGGATAATTAGAATCTTGACTGTCACATGAGCTAGAACGTGTTCTTTGATGGGTTGATCCAGATTGACTTCTTGCTTGTGATCTTCTTTCTTCTAAGGTACTGACTGGACTTCTTGCTTGAGATCTCCTCTCTTCTACTGTACTGACTGAGCTTCCAGCTAACCTATTATCTTCGGTGGCACCTATAAACAGTGTTTCTGCACTCACACTTCGTGGTCTAGAAGACGGCAGTGTATTATTTTGTATTTGTGTTGCTTTAAGAGGTTCATCAGCATCGCTATCTGATGTAATATTAATTTCATCAGGATTTCTTAATTTATCAATCACAGGATTATTGACATTTTTGTTGTTATTTGCTGTTTCAGTATCTTTATTAATCTCCAAGTGACTATCAACTAAACATCCAGTAGATAAAAGACGTTGTCGCCATCCAAATATTGTTTTGAAATCAGGTGCAGGTTTATCAAACAGTGTTTCAAACCTCTCAGTACTAATTTTACAGTTATTATATACAAGAGCATAGGCTGCAGCTCGCACTCGTTCTTCCAGTGTGTATGTAACTTGAAAGCTTTCTGCTGGAGTAGGACCAGTAAATTTATATACAATATTATTGTTTGTTGATGTAATTCTATTCTCCATTACAGGGTTAACTCCTTTAACCGGTGATCCACTACTGTCTCGTTTACTTCTTTTTGAGCCAGTGTCATAGCCAGAAGATGCTGTATGATCCTTATCTCCAGTACTGACATAACGTTTACGAAACTGGTTGCCATTTGCTTTATATTCTGGTACCATGTGGTCTTGTCTGTGGTGACTTGTCTGATTCTGAAATTGATATCTCCTGAAATTTACTTTAGACAAAGGAGGAAGTTCACACACAGAGCCATCACTTAAACTACCCTGTGTTTTCTCTTTTCTACTATATTTTGTATTTGGAGAAGACTCTGGAATAGTATGTTCCAGTTTTGAATCCATCTGCAGCATTGTTGGTGGCAACTTATTGAATGCTGCTCCTTCAGTGATGCCAACCTGAAGGCAGGAAAAATTATCTCCACTTTAATAATGATGTGCTTCAAAAGTTTAATGCGCTAATTTAATATCTTCTTAGCTTCAAATTCCATATCTCCTGAATTTATGATAAAATAAGCAAAAAATAGGCACATTATGAATTCACAAGAATTGTTTCATGAAGTTGTAAGGTGTAGTATGATAAGATGACAAACATAAGTTATTAGTAAGTGTATCAAAACATACCTTATCTTTTGAGTCTTGTTTGCGTTTACGTTTTATCCTTCCAAATTCATCATATTCATCATCTGAAGATGAATCTCTCCTTCTATATTCCACTACTCCACGCTCATTATACCCACCACCATATCCAGTTCGTGCTTCAACCTACAAAAGATACAAAATCTCATCATTGCAAGCTTTTTATAGTCCAAAATTAAATCTTTTACCAATATGAAAATGACGAAATAAGTCAACTCAACAACAACAAACTGTAATCTAATAGAAATATTACACACTAAATTTTTACAACCTATGAAATACATATACTGAAGATTAAAATTTCATTACAATGCTTGAAAGCTGCATCGTCAACATTACATTGATGGGATATGGGGCAATTTCACAGATGGGTACAGACTACACTTAAATAACATTATTATTGAGCTAGACTTGAGCATCAAGAAATCTGACACGGCAAAATATGATATGTGTAGGACAAATAAAACGTTCACTCAATCAACAGCATTTAAAACAGTCCAATTAAATATTTGGAACAGTAGTTGATACATACCTCGCCGAATCTCGGTGCATTACAAACATTACAAGTTTGACGCCGGGCCCAGTTTACATTTGCACATTTGTTGCATTGCCAATCGTCTGCGTTAAAAAGACCCCGAGATTTCTCCGCAGCAGACTTTCCGATTTCTGTACCCAGTTTCTTTTTGAAAGTTTTAGTACTCTCCGGCTTTTCCTTATTACATCGATAACATGAAAGGCGGCGCGCGAAATTAATGTTTCCGCAATTTGGATCGCTGCAAATCCAATCCCCGTCGTTCATTTTGTCACAGATGAATCCACCTTTTACTAAAGAAGTATCATTCTACGAAATTTATAAAATAAGCATCATACAGTTTATCAGAGAAACACGATTATCTAAACGTAAATCAAATGTAAATAAAAGTCAAACCACTGACGGTAATCTTCACTTTCAAAGAAAACCAAGCTCACTTTTGCAAGGAAAGGAATCAAGCTTCATATCAGCCATGACATGATGCAGTGATAAAAAAAAATAAAAGCATAGACAGTCCACCACTTTTGTATGTCTAAAAGCATAGACAGTAGTAGTAGTTTCATCCATGGGACAGGCGAAGGAACTTAGCTATACAGCCAAATCTTGGGTTATAAAAAAGCATAGACAGTTTCGTATAGGTATTTCCGCAAAATAATCGTAATATCGTATACTTTGCCTGTAATGGAATCCAAAATGGATAATTTTTGTTAATTCTACTATACAAAACCAACAAATTCGAGAAACTGCATTTGAAGTCGGGCTATATCATAAATTAATTTAATACATTGAAGTCAGATTATTTGCCGACTACAGCCATTGCAGATACACACTTTTAAATTTTTTTGTGTATAAAATACCTATAATTTTATATCGCTAAGCTCAGAGTTTTATTATACAGTGAGATAAATAAAAGTAGATTCTTAAACAAGGGGCTAGTGACATATTTTAGAGGAGATACTATTAAATATTCAAATTTCTCCATGAGTGTTACTCCCAAAGTCCCGCGATTTAGAAAGGGATAAATAGAAAACGTTTTATAATGGGTTTTAACACCCGTTTTCAACGTGAAAACATAAATAATTTATCACTATTCCCAGGTCAGATTAAATAATGAACAATGATCCGAAATGGTGAGCGTCAAAAGTAATCGTATCGCTGTATATACAGGTGTTATGCACTTAAAAGAAAAAGCCAGCGTTTGTTTGTAAAATGTTTCTGGTAAAGAAATAACATTATTATCATTATTACGATATTATTTATTATTAGATAATAGTTTTAATGAAACAATTAATAAGTATAGTGTTAATGGTCTTGATTCGCACGCGAGTATACACGGTGGAACAAAACAACCGACACTCCCGAGGTTCCTGGAGAGTACTATTTGTCTATAATATGATGTAAAAAAAATTATATATCTAGGTAAAAGTTTCGGAGATATTAAATTACAAAGATTTTGGAAAATAATGAGTTCTTTATTAGCTAATTTTGGGACGTACTAAGGAACAAGTTTTAATCGGTTATTGACTTCTTAATTTCTAAAAACAAAATAAACTACTATTATATGCGCTGAACCGTTATTCGAGACCTAAGAGTGAGACAGCACTACTTCCGTTTCCTAGAACAGCCCTCCTCCGATACCCTCCATTACGTCACTTCCGGCAGCTCAAGTGCGGTAGAAGGGATTTTTGTTTTTGCTTGTCACCAGCAGCAGGTTTGACTCGTCACATTGGCATCGACTTTCGTCGAGTGAACACCTCCTTATTAACAACGTTGTTGTTCGTAAAAAATTGTAGGTAGATATTACAAGTTTATTTTAAATATCATGAGTGGAACTCCTGAGCGGGCTTCTAGGCCCAGACAACATAATTTGTCACCAAAGCAGGCTTCTAGGCTGGGTGAACAGAAAAGAGTTACTCAGGGGGCTTCTAGACCCCGAGAAACGCATAGAGAGGCTCCCAGGCCAAGAAAGCGTCGTCTTTCGTCTACGAATTCGTCGGTCAGTGATGACAGTTCGAGCACCAGTCTGTCTACGTCCTCGTCGTCAACATCCAGCGGCAGTTTATCATCTAGGCCACGGCGTCATCATAAAGAACGTAATCGGCGGCGAAAACAAAGTAAAAATGACCGAAATTTTGAATCATTGGCGAATCGAGTGAGTCCAATTATTAAATATTTGAAGGATCAGGATCAGTTCAATAGTTCACAGAACTTAGAAAACGATTTAGAATTGCACCCTACCCGAGAATTAACATCATCATTACTTCCTAGTGAACCTCTTCTAAAAAGACCTCGATTCGATAAAAATATTCATTGTAACATCAACACTAACTTAAAAGAAGCTGCGATTGATAATGCTTCCGAATCTAGGCTAAATATTTTATCGAAATTACATTATTTCGATACGAATGATTGGGATCGCGTAAGGTATATTGACACTGAGAAAAAGTATCTTGCAAAACCTGGATTTCCTTGAGTTCCTTCTTATTAAGAGCGGGTGGTACAAACAAGCTGTTTCATAGTAACAAGCGCTCAACGGATGAACCCATTATGTCTTTTCAAAATAAAAATAATGTTACTCGCGCTAAGCGGCTGCGGAAGCCGGCACCACGCGAACGCATTTATGATGATGTCGAACCTGTTCCGGGTCCATCATCAAATAAAAACAATAATTATGTTAATAAAAACAAGAAATTCGCAACAAACAATAACAAATTTAATTTGAAACATCGGGACGGTAAATTTAATAATTCAACTGGCAGGAATAGTAATAGTAGATTTCGCAAATGACTGGAGACAAAACTCGTTTTACGGCGGTTGTTTAAAAGATTACATAAACTGCTGGAAAAAGTTAAATGCGCCAAGACATATTCTAAAAATAATATCAGGTTATCGAATACCATTTTGCAAAATACCGCCATTAATCAATCACAAACGTTTATTAAAATATCAGACACCAACAAGTGCAGAAATGTCACGAGAAATTTTAAAATTAAAAAATCAAAATATACTAATACCCGCGCCGCCGACTCCGAGTTTTATTTGTCCGATGTTCCTTGTGAAAAAATCGGATACCAGCAACAGGCCAATATTCAATCTAAAAAACTTGAATCGATTTCTAGCTCAGTTCAAGTTCAGATTAATCAATGTCAATCGGGTGCCGGATTTTCTGCAACAGGGCGATTGGGCAATAAAAATAGATCTTTCACAGGCCTATTTTCACGTTCCACTGGCTCGCTCTCATCTGCCGTTCCTGAGGGTTTTATACCAGTCAGAAATTGCAACAGAACCGGAACTTTTACAAATCACCAGCTTACCGTTCGGCCTTTCGTCAGCACCCGTGACATTTGCGACAGTTTCCAACTGGGTAGCAGAGGTTTTGCGCAACAGAGGTATGAGGGTAATCGTATACCTCGACGATTATCTGATTGTCAATCAGAGCCAAGCAATGTTGCAAGAACAGGCTGCGGAAGCCATGCAAATTCTGAATTCACTTGGTTGGAGTATCAATTACAAAAAGTCAGTATTGGCTCCAACTCAGACGATCGAGTATCTGGGCGTCACATGGGACCTCAGACAAAATATCAAATATATACCCGCCAAAAAGAGACTAAGATTCAAAATAAAATTGGAGCAACTTCTAGGACAAGGTCTTTGGTGTCTCAAGGATGCTCAGAGAATATTGGGAATGCTAAACTTTGCCTCGTTTGCGGTTTCCAGAGGTCGACTTCATTGCCGCCCTTTACAAAAAGCAAGTTATCGGCTCCAAAAAGATCAACCACTGTCGAAGAGCATAATTCAACCCCAGGTCTAGACAGAGTTTCAGTGGTGGCTAGAATCCATGGGAGCAAGTACGCCGATTCATTTTGCACCCGCTGCTCACTTTCTGACTACGGATGCTTCAAGCACCGGCTGGGGCGCAGTAGTAGACGGTATTCATTGGACGGGAGGCTCTTGGCTTTCCGATCAGATAACATGGCACAGCAATCTAAAAGAGATGTGGGCAAATATCAATTCTGTTCTAACGTTTGCGACACAGTTTCGAAAGACAACTGTTCTAATACAATCCGACAACAAAAGTGTCGTAAGCTACATATGGAACGAAGGCGGACGTTCGAAAACTCTCCTTCAAATGACTGGGATGCTATATTAACTGCTAGATCAGAAAAACATCCATATTGTTCCTCAGTATATACCCGGAATGTACAACGTAGAAGCAGACATGATCTCCCGACAACAGAGACAGACAGAGTGGACGTTAATTCAACCGACGTTACGGGAGATATTCAGACGCTTGGGTACACCAGAGATCGACCTCTTTGCGTCTCAAAAGGCTCACATTCTTCCACGGTATGTTTCACGAGACTGCAGAGATTCAAAAGCAGAATACCACGACGCATTCAGCAGACAATGGCGGTACCGCAAGGCCTGGATATTTCCACCACCACACCTGGTACCTCGAGTTTTAGCACACCTAAACAGGGCCGAGGGCACATTTCTACTGGTGGTCCCACGATGGAGAAAGGTATTCTGGCGTCCAGACCTGAAACGCCGAGCTATAGCCGCACCTTGGACAATAACACATCTGAGAAATTGTTTATTGGACACACAAACTTGGAAACCACCTGCACAGGTGGATCAGATGTGTCTCGAAGTTTGGTCAGTAAAAGGTGGAACCACTTACTAAATGAATGGTCATTGGATGAAATTGAGTTGCTAGACTCGAGCTGGAGAACTTCTACAAAGAAAGTATATTCATCAGTTTGGGAGAAGTGGCGAAATTGGTGTCACGATAAGGAAGTTGATATTTACTATCCAACGGGATCGCAATTGGCTAAATACTTGGCTAATCTACATTTAACAGAAGGCCTTGCTTACAAAACGATTTTAGTATATAAATCCGTGATAGCTACTATGACGGCTTCCGAGACAGACTCATTAAGCAATAGTCCTATTGTAAAACGTATTTTAAAAGCCATATCATTAGTGGCTGCTAGTAAAACACCTAAAAAATCTTACATATGGGATCCATCGGAAGTTGTGCTGTGGCTGACATCTAATCCGTTGCACCTTACACTTTATGAAGTATCACGACGTACCGCTTTATTGTTGCTTCTGTCATCCAGCCGAAGAGTCCATGATCTCACTATCTTGAACATTGACGAGGATCATTTCGAAACGTTTGACGATCATGTCATACTACATCCACGGTTCGGATCCAAGACCGACAATTATACACATCGACAATCTTCGTGGAAGTTTATAAAAATAAACAACGACAAAATATGTCCTGTTTATTGGATCAAACGGCTCATCGAAATATCAGCTCATCGTCGAGAAAACAAAAATATGAGTGAACTGTTCTTAACAGCACGAGGAACAGCGCGGCCAGCGTCTCGCACGGTACTCAGTGGCTGGGTACGATCGCTATTGCGCGCTGCTGGAGTGGAGGCTAGCGCTGGCTCTACACGTAGCGCCACGGCTTCCCGAAACTGGTTGGATGGTTATGATATTGATGAAGTTATGAAAAAA